CTCCCGCGCCGCTCTCCATCGGAAGGTACGTTTGCCTATTCACAGTAGTGCTGGCCCTTCCCACAGGGTCAGGGAAAAACCACCCCAACAAAGCAAAGGCAAGAGGACGTTCAGCACATCGCTGGCAAACAGCCACGGGCAGGTCCGGAACTCAAGCCCTGCCTTCGGCAACTTTAGTCTACAAGGTAAATGGTTGGAGCCTTACTGGCAGACGCCTGGCAAGATACCAAGCAGAAGGCTACCGTGCAGTTTTCAGTCTCTGCCCCATTTCCTTACCAAAACTTAAAGGGTCACTTGGTGTTAAACAAAGCAAACCACACTATCGCACATCCACATGCTTCAGGGAGAGAAATGAACTCTCCAAGTTCGTTCCTGACCAAGCGGCAAAACTTGAGATGCAAGCACAGTGAAATGAGGCCCCCGTAAGGTGCTACAGCTTGGCACAACTGTTTGTCCCTGCAGAAGAGGCCACAGACTGGTGATGAATTTAGGCAAGAGCAAGAGAAGCCGTGGTAAACCAGCACCTCAAGTGTCAATGCAGCTGCACAAGTTGAATCAGCACCGCCAAAAAAGTGACCAGTACTCAAGTCATCAGCAAAAACTGAAGAAACAGAAAACTACCAGGACACTTAAAAAACCACTAATCACCTGAAAAATCTGAGCATCTCCCCCCTAAATAAATCCAGGGGGGCTCTTAGTGCCTTCCCCTCACAAATCCATGACCACTCATTCAAAGTAGTGATGCAAAAGAGGAAAATGTTTCTGCTCTGCTGTTTTATACGTGTTAGTTCACAGGAGAGAAAATCAACTTTATTCTACGCTCAAGGGGTGACATCGTAGCACCCTCAGAGCACCACCTCTTTTGTAAAAGCTTGCCTCTGAAAGTCCTCTCTCCAGCGCCAGGGCCATGGCCAGTTAAGTACCTGTCTCTTTTGACCATTACAGAGATCCATGGCATGCTGAAAAAACAAAAGGTCTTCTTTTTGGTTCAGGTGAACTAGTCAATCAGAAGTCTAAATCTCATTTTCCAGAGGGGCAGTGAAGGGCTTCTAAACAACCACCCACCAAACAAAAACTAGATCCACCAGTCCTGTCAAATCATTTCTGAAAATGGAATTCAGGCTTCTAAACCAGTGAGTACTTTTAAAAGAAAGATCGCTTCTTACTGTGTGTCTGTAAAGTGCCTGGCAGTATTATGGCTCTATATGAAATATTTTTAGGTCAACCACATTTTCTAATATTTGAATTATCTTTTGTTTTTAAAAAAAAAAGACAGAGAGAAAGAAAACCAGAAAGGCTCAACCTACTGCAATACAGAGA